TAGGTTTGTGTACTCCGCTGAGCTATTTCAGGCCATGTAGTCGCTGTTGCACTGAGCTGGGTTCCTCCTGTACTTGAGCTAGTCTAGGGCTAGAAGGCTGCATTGCCGCTATTATGGGGAGTTAGTACCTCTGTTTTACATCCCATTTTATTTTCTGAGAGTCATGGAGTGTAGGGGAAAGAACAAGAGCCAGATTAAGAATGTGAATGACAGGCTGCGAAGCCACGTGTTCAGCATTTTTACAGCTTTAGCTGTCCCCTCCATTTCCTCCTAAAACTCATTATGTCCCTGTTGCAATGAGGATTACAGTAACTTTCCCCAAAACTCAGATCAATGTGGATTTGCCTGCCAAAAATAGCACCAAATTTTAAATTATGATTTCCAAATATCTTATCTGTTCATACTTTTTTTTCCATCAGACCCTCTAGCAAATGCTTATTGGCATTAGAGTTCTCTGAGACTCTGAATGCTGCTGCTGAAGTTTCTGTGAATGTTCAGCTTTTGCAGACAGATTACGGCAGGAAATCAGTGTACGTGCAGAAAGAGAGAAAACTTCAAAAATCCTCTCCTGACTAGACATTGATTATTGGAATACAGTCTGTAAAAGCTGTTTCTGAATTGTAGCCCATCTCTCTCCATTTCCTCTTTGTCTCCAAGACGATTTAAGGTTTTCAGGCCTCCTGCAGCACTCACTTTGTTCATTCATTACTAGAGAAATATTTTCCTTTTGTATATGAAAAGTAATTTGTGTTTAATCCAAGGAGGAACAGATGTTCTTGGCATATCAACAGTATCAGACCAGTCTCAGAGTTCAGCTTTTCCATAACTTACTACTGTGATCCTTGGACACAACTCTGAGTCTATCTGGGTCTACATTTCACTTCTTATTGCCATTTTTAGATTTGCTATTCTAATGCAGCAAGGGTCTCATGGGGGGGGCATATCTGCTGTGATCATTGGAGAGTGAATATTCACTCTTACCTGGAGTGAATTGTCTTAACAGTAAAGCATAGTTTTATTTTTCAGAGGTGAAAAGCTCCATCTTCTAAATTAAATTAAGCTCACAGACAGCTCAGAAAAGTCCTGTACTGGCAGCAAGTCAGTGTCAGACTGTTCAAAGGAATAAACACAAACAACCACAACCTAAGCCTCATGTTTGAATTATAGTACAGGATGATACTTAAACCTGCTAGTAGGTGTTTTCTGGCCATATACTATGTTTTCTGGTAATCTTTTGTGCATTCTTTGTCTTTCAGAAGTTCTGTTGCTTTGTTTTCATCAAAGAAAATTTCCTTTTGTAGGATTATTGTAGGAAACAACATGTTAAATGTCCCTTGCCTCATAAAGGGCTACTGCTCCAAGCCCTGTTAAACAGAAGTTGGGGGTTTTTTCCAGTACTGTCAGTATGCTTTGCACTGGGCCCTGGATAACGAGCTGGGCTCATTGTGGCATAGCATTCCTTCTAAGTCATCAGTCTCAGATTCATTTATGGTTGTCTTTTGCTTCCTTATCATTAAGCAGGATAAATTCTGCCTAGCACTGAGCAATCTTGGTCTTTCCTTGATTTTATATGAAAAATGCTGAAGGGACTTAGCTGTTTATAGGAGGCTTTTGGCACTTTGTTAAAAAAGTCCCACACTTCATATGGATGTAATGTAAGAAATGGTCTTAAAGTATTCAAACTTACCAGTCTTCTCCTTACTTAAGCCAAGAAGATAATATCTTCAGATCACTTAACTAAGTGACCTGAAGACTGAGTAAATTGGGGTAGATCCATTAGGTAGTCTGTGGAAAAACTAAGTTAATCAAGATGAAGCTAATTTTGGCCTTGTAAAAGACTAAGTAGACTAAATTGAATCTTGACAGTTGTCTTCCCTGTGATGGCAGTTTCTTACAGCTAAAACACACGTAGGGATGAGCTACAGAGAATGAGCAGCACTTCCTTGAAACAGCAGCCTAACAAATATCTTCCCCAAGAGAACTTTTTCTAACTGAACTCTCCAGTGAGTGCAGTGCACTGGGTAAAATGTTAGATTATTTAGTCTAATGCAAGAAAACCTGAGAAGTGAGAAACATGATCCAGATTATTCAAATGTTCAATGATAGATGTGTCTGGATCGGTACCATTTGCTACTCTGCAAATTTTACAATTTTTTTTTCTTTTAAAGTCATGCATAATATTCTATGCACAGGAAAATCAGAATTTGGGAGGCTTGAGGCTGATGTACAAATTTTTTTAAAAAATTTTAAACAATATGTGCATGACTGAGTTGTTTCTGTGATTGTATGGGTGAGCTACTTAATTGGGTTGATGTTCCCATTTAAAATTACAATTTTCATATTGTTTTGTGATATGAAAGTAAGTATACAAGCCATTTTTTAACTTTACCAGACACAAAAAAACCCAAACAACCAACCCAGCTCCTTAACAGGGATATGCAGGGTACATTCAGCTCATCTGAAATATACAGTGATTATATACTGATGGTGATTGTAGATACTAAGCTGGAATATTAATCAGCTTTTCATCAGTGTGGCTGAACATTCTAATCAGGTTTTTATTAATAGGAAACTGAGGTGAGGAGAGGTTAATTTACTTTGGATGGACCTATATAATGAGTCAGTGTTAGTGCTTTGCTGTAGCTGTGACAATCAGAGTATACAGGCAAGACAACTAGTGGTAAGAACTGGTGTAGTTGGAAGGTAGGGCCAGCTCCCAGGCATAGCAACTGTTCTTCAGGTCTGCCTCATACCTGAAATAAGCCTTCTGATATGTGGTTGTCTCTGTCAGTTAACTATCACTGACAAGTAATTACAGGTCATATCCACCAGTAGAAAAGATGTGTCAACGGGATATTTAACCACCTGACATTCACACCAATACCTGGGTGTAATACATAGGATTACAGGTGGTCAGGAGAGCAGCAATAGGGATGCAGCATATGATGAGCTCAATCTAGTGTTGTTCTGACCCCCAATTAATAGTGTGTGTAGGAAAGTTTTGATCTTTTACAAACAAACTCTGCACTTAAGAGAGGCAGTTAATTGTGTTTCTAGCTTTCTCTAGGTATGTATCAAGCTGGAGTGCTTATTACCCAAGGACTGACTCCTGGGAGAATGCCCTTCTGTCTTATAGTTCTGCAGTAGATGACAAACAAAATCTCTGACCCACTGCAGGCTCCTCGAGAGTTCTCCAACCCCCTCTCCCAGGCGGCAGCATCATTGATTTCAAGAGGGAGGGCACGAAGCGTGGGTGGTGATAGCAGCAGCATAGGCTTGCAGCCAACGTACTTTTGTGGGCTCTAATGCTCTGCAGCCACTCGTTTTGCTGATGCTAGTCTTCTGCATATTGCT